CTAATAGAAGATAATTAAATATATTTTACAAATGAGAAAGCTTGAGGTACAGTGCCTTGCAAAAGTAAAAAAAAAATATTCATACCCCTTGAACTTTTCCATCTTTTCTCAAGTTTTGACCGCAAACTTTAACATATTCATATGCATTTCAAATTTATATAATACAACAATAAAACTTTGTGCAACAAATGTGAAGTTTTATGAAAAACATACATGGTTTTTAAAACTTGTATGTTTCTCCCAACAGTGATTCAAGTGTATCACAGTAGATGTTAATACATTCTCCTCATTACAGTAATCTACATGTGTTTGGAGTCATCCTGCCTGAGTTTTTAGTGTTTTCACATCTAGAAGTTGAAATTACAAAATAGTTCAAAGTCAGCCAGATGGAAGGAGTTTGCAAATATAAACTTGCATCAGTGTTTACTTCCACCCATCTTTCTTAAACTCTGTTTAATTTTTTTTAAAAAAGAAAAACATTCCCCACGGCATAACTTTGCCATTGCCATGCCTCATGACAGGATGGAAAGTTCAGGCCGATTGTTTAGTTTTAGTTTTCTGCCACAAATGATGTTTTGGACGCTGGCTACAAAACACAGTCTGCAGTCTGCCACTAGGTTTCCTCTTACTTTGCTGTTACAGCTGACTCCAGATACAAATTTGTGATGTGATTTATTCTGACAAATCAGACTGCCAGCGGTTGAAATTTTCAAAGCTGACCATCATTTGCCTTCCTCATCTCACTTAATGCTCCACTTCCTGTTGCTCCATCACGTAAAACGCCAATAAAATACATAGACGTTTGTGATTGCAACAAAACAAAATGTGGGGAAATGACTTTTGCGAGGCTCTGTACGTTTCCTGTCTCATTTCCAGTCCTTCACAGAAACCCTATATATTTTTCTGTCTCATTTATCCGTCTGTACAGAAGCTCCCAACTTCACTAGTCGATGTGAACTGCTCCGACTCCAGTGAAACGCCTGTGATTTTGGTGTGTATCTGACCTAATTCGAACTATTATCCCAATTGGTCCTGTAGTGCTGAAAGAGCATGTTGAGGTCCCAGTGTGAGGCCCTCTCCGTTTGTACATACAGTCTGCCACTAGAGTCCCACGCTGTACCGTTTCAAGCATCCGAGCACAGCGTGTTTAAAGTGGTACAGGATGTGATGTACTGCTTATCGTCGCTAAAAAAAGCCTTATTGTTCTCGCTCACTTTGTCGTATTTAATTCATATGGTTTTTAAAAAAATATTTATTCTGTTTTGTTATATATTTTTTTTTTTTTTAAGACAACCGAAAAAATTGTTTTTGTTTATTCTTTGTGGTTGTTTTATTTATTTATTTTTTTGGGAGTATGACGTTACTTTTGGTTCTTTCCATTTTTTAATGTGCTTTTTTTAAATGATTTGCTTTGTATTGAGAACGTATGCCCTCTGTGCAGGGTGCTATTTGATACTAATTACAGATGTCTGATTAGTTATGGAGATGTACATTAGAGGCAGACCTATCTAAAGTTTACAAGTGATGCCCGTTTCAACCCCTTCCCCCTCGCCTGATTTGACCTCCTACATGTAGCTGCAGCAGCGGTGCATTTAAAGGCATCGGAAAAAGTTCGACATATAGATGAGAGTGAAATTCTCCTGATGTGCCGTTTGTGTTTAGATTGCTTGAAAGCACAGAGTAGCAGGTGTATTTTCGACGGGAGTGGGTATGAATCGTCTAGCTACACACGTTACACACACACACACACACACTCACAGCCTCAGAGGTTATTGTCTGAATCTGAACTTCTTCTCATATGAACTCTATGTGTGGTCCTGAAGTCTTGGCAATGTTTGAACATATATGAAATATGTTACTCCCTCGATTTCTAATGATTATTGTGTCAAGAGAAATATATAAACAGGCACACGCGAAACATATAACGACAGTGCGGAGGGCCAGCTCTGATGATGCCATACCCCTCACTAATGTACTTGTTCTTTCCTTTCAAACCATAGATGTAGATATTGTATCTTGAATTTGTATTAAAAAAAGCAGGATGGTTGGATACACGGCAGTCCTGTTGTTTCTCTGTGATTCCTCCGTGTTCCACTAGATGGAGCCAACGTCAGCTCATGCAAAAATGGATTCCTGTCACTGAAAACAATGATTTAATGATTCCAGTTCCAACACTCTACATAAATAAAAAAGAAGAAAAAAAAAAAGCTTTTCAGATAGTTTTGGTAAACAACAGTGCGTTTCATTCAGTTCTAAAGCTAAAAAAGAACATGATGTGCTCTAGGAACTGATCTAAATCTTTTTTGTTCTGCTGACATTTTTATGTTTAAAATGTAGATGGTAGAGATGAACCCTGCAGAGATGCTAGCGATATGCTGGGGTGTGTTTCTTTTCTTTTTTCTGCAAGTCATTTTACTGTCTTAAAGGAATATAAATCAAATTTTTGAGAAGATGTTATTTTCTTTCGTTTTAAACTATTCCTTAAATTAATCTAAAATGGCACAAACAACATACTTTTTTCTAAGGTTAGCCTTCAAATGTGCCATTTTTGCTTTTTTTGACTCCTTACTTATGTTTACACAAATGGATGAATTCCATTATGTTGCAATTTCACTTTGAAGTACTAGCTTTCAATTTTTTGGCAGTATTTTTTTGTTCTCCAAATGGCATTTTTCCCCAGTCAAAGCATGCAGCTAAATCTTTTACTTTTGCAGCTTTCTGCAACCACGCCTTGTTACTGATGTAAGTTTATGTGTCCAATGGGTTTTATAAAACTTTCATATTTCTATTAAGAGACAGAAACCTTGTGGGCCTTTTTACAAAGGTTACCAAGTCACTGTCTGCTGTGTACAACAAAAAGAAAAGGAGAAGAAAAAACAAAATATTTTTTAATTTAGTTTCATTTTCTGCACGAGAATGACACACCCATGTCTGATCCAAGCAGAGGTGTTCTCAAGAATGAACTCAACTGAGTTTCACTTTCTCTTTTTTTCTTTTTTTTTACTTTACACAAGATCCAGAGGAAAAATTAAATATGCTCTCACACACACCCTCATTATGTGACTAGACACTGCGGGTAGAAACAGTATTTTTATTTCCTGCTTTCTGCTTTGTTCGAAGGTTCTTCTTCTTGAAAAAAGAAGGAAAAAAATAAAAGAACAAGAAATTACGTGTTGAGATAAAGTACCTGAAGAGGAATCGGGTGGCAGTGTTGAATTGTGGGCAATTAAAGTCTTAAGGCTGAAAAATATCACTGACTGATTATATCATATTAATCCTTTTGCTGGTTTTGCAATGTTGTACATATTTTCTAAGTAATTTCTCAATCATTCTGTCCAGAAGAATCACAGAATCTGCCAGATGACCCCTGGCATAGTAGCTGTGTCTGCAGTAAACGCCATAATGTGTGTTGTGTTTCTCCTCCATTGGATTTCTGATACTTATCTAAACAGCGCAGTGCATTCTTCATCATGCTACAATTCCTCTCTAAAAGACAGGCTCTGTAGGTTTGCACGTTTTTATTTTAAGTTATTTATACTGAAATCTTCAACAGCAACAGTTTATGTGCGTCACAGCAACAACACGAGATTCATTTCAAACAAACCCAAGCATCAGCGCAGATTAGCCTGCAGTATCTATGCCCCGTTTTGAAGAGTCTTGTGTTCTGAACTGAACTGAGGTTCAGACTACAGCCCTGCTGGGAAAAAAAAATAACCTCAGCTGGTCAACCATTAAGTCAGAAGAAGCTAATCAATTACCGTTTCATCAGGAAGACTCAGGTTTTCGCCAGTCTTTGTCGTTTTTATATCTTTGTCAGCATATGCAGCAAAAGCATTCTTAGCTCCGCTGCCTTTTCACATTCTGTCATGTTAGAACCAGGGATGTTCAAAGCTTGTGACTCAAAAGAATAAAAAAAAGAAAAGCAATAAGAAAAGAAAAAAAATAGTAAACCTAAACAATCACAAACCTAGACAAAAATGACCATGGTAACTCTGAAGAACATGCAGTTATCCACAACTCAGGTGGATAACCTGAGTTATCCAACTGATAACTCTGTTTATTAGAGTTGTTCACTTCACGTGGAATCATAAAATAGTGGCAAAACAAACCCATTCCTAATGAACTAATGAAGATCTCATTTTGGTAATTTGCCATAAGACGTAATAGTCAAAGCAAACAAAAGTTAATGGTCTATATGTGAAACACATCATGCCATCTAACACAGCGACTGCAGGATCATGGATACTTTGTTGTTGTTTCTACAGCAAAGGCACAGAAGCTTTTCAGAGTTGATGACAAACTCTGAAAAACAATCAGAGCTCAAATTAATCAAGTTTAGCATTAATATTTGCTAGAGGCTGTTTTTAAAACAGTCCCAAAGACTGTTTCCATGCAGGCTGATTGAGCTGGAGAGGTATTTTGTAAAGAAGAATGGACCAAGATGTGTGCAGATGTGCAAACTGGGAAAGGAAACTCCGGCTGGAATGGAGTGGAGGCTCGATTAAGTGAAAGTGCAATAATATTTCATTTCTAAAATAAAACACAACTGGAAACTGGAAACACTCCAACAACTGGAAACACTCCAACAAAAAACACAGTACAAGTTCGTCTCAGATCTGATTACAAAGAAATGTATTATAGTTGGGAGGATCTTTTGTTTAATATATGCAGCTTTGATTATCTGCAAGCATCAAGACTGAAACTTTTCGTGTGAGAAAACTGCCCAGTCAGGGCCTGTCTTTGAAAGCGGGACGTGGATCACTGATCCCTATCTGCGCAGGCCGAACAGGTTCAAAGGCTCCTGCCTGACTTGTCACGTGAAGGTTCGCTGGCATCTCCACATACCTTCTCTGAATGTGTGTGAGTAACAGGCCACGCCCACCGTCACGGGTTTGTTTGTTTTTTTGTTTGTTTGTTTTTTTAAAGCTTCGCAGGCGTCCTCTGATTGGCTCATGTGAAACGACGCTTCCTCTTCACCTGTGTCCCTTGAGTAAGTGGGCGGTCTCTCTGTCTCACCTGCTTATTTCCGAGCGACTTTCTTTTCCGAAAAAGAAAACAGCTGAGAGCTGATGAGTCTGAGCTGAAGCGAGGACACCATCGCGCCGTCGTGTTATTGTGTGGAAGTTGGGACGTCTGCTTTTGTCATGACCCAGAAAAGCAGGAAACTCTCAGTGGGCAGTTCGTGAGTATTTCTCGTTTTTCTATATAGATATAAATAAATGTGAGCTGTACTTGTTGTATTGCTGCTTCTCGCCTTCCGTAAGGTCCATCTTCTATAGTGATGGATTGGTGATGGCTGATATGTGTCCAGACTCTGCGTTGCCTGGGTTTCAAAGTGAAACCAACCTCCAGGGATCCCTGCTGTTGCCCCGCGACAGCAGAAAGACGAGGAATAACGCAGAGATGCGGCGCCGCAGAAGCGCGCACACTTTCTCTGGCTAGTCACATTACCGCTTCAATCTATTGACGGGGATTTTATGGGATAGGCAGACCAACTCAGAGTTCTGTGAAGGTGGAAGATAAAAAAGACGCAGCGTTTATTCAGTCGTTTGTTTGCATATAAAATCCTGAAAAGCTTCCTCTGCAGAACAGCTGACATTCTTTTGAGTCTCTAGGTTTTCGGAGACATCTTCGCTCATTCTTCTTTGCAAAGTAGCTCAGATTGGATGAGCTACTTTGTATTGTATTACATTTGAATTCTACTGATTTAGGTCTGGACTTTGACTAGGCCACTCCAGCATATGACTATGTTTTTCGCTGTGGCTCTTTTTGGATTGTGGCTCTGCTGGAAGGTGGACCTCTGCTCGGCTTGATGCTGCAGGCACATTTGTTTCATAGTTTGCAGCCTTCATTTGACATTAGCTTGTAGGCCAAAAAGTGGTTGAAATAAATTTTTTTCTTTGCTACTAGCTTCACTGAGTACATGGCTAACAATTGACAGAAATTTTCACCTTAAGCCGTGAAACTCTGCAGCTCCTCCACAGTTGCAGCAGTATGAGAAGGCACACACGAATTTGTAACAGCATGAGCAGCAAATGTTCTAACTTGGGATATTGCTTCGTAAACTAATTTTCCTTTAAATTCTCCACAACTTCCACATCTTCATAATGTTCATTGATTTGCTGAAACAAACCTGTGACGGATTCACATTCACAAAACAGCTGAAGTTAAATTATAAACAGATGAAGTAGGTATTACTAGGTATTATATATGGATATGATAGTAAAGTGGAGTGAATACTAATGCAAGCAGGAAAAAAACATTTCACTATTATTATTATTATTATTTAAACGGTATGTACTCTATTACTTCGTGTCCACAGATGTTCCCTCCTTTGTGTTGCTCTGTCACATAAAAATCCAATATAATAGTTGGAATTATAAGTGGTGAAATATATTTTTCTTAAAAAAATCATAGGGTGTAAGTGGTTTTGCTCAGGGCTGTAAATTCGCTGCTGTGGTACTTCAAACAGCTGCTTTGAAGTGTGGCATCACCGACAGGCACATTATACTGGATTCAAAATGAACAACTCATCTTGTGCCTGTTTGCTGTTCATCCAGGCCTCCTGTAGAGCTGAGCACGACTCGTTGTTGATGCTTTACAAGCTGTTTGTGTAAAACAAAACAAACTCCTGTTTCTGACAAAACACAACGATGCAGCTGAAGGTTTAATGAAATGATGTTTGCTGTCAGCACACTGGAGCCGCTTTGATCCGCGCTGACACCTCTGAAAGTCCCGCGCCTCCACTCGTGCTCCCATCAGAGATTTCATTTCTTTACCTTGTTTCGCATCGATCTGAGCCGGATTGTCCCTTTTGACGTTTTTCCTCCTGGATCAGAGTCGTGGACGAACTCTCCCCTCTTCTCACGAGGAGAGACAGCAGGAGGAAGTGCAGCCGGAGCCAGAGCCTGAATTTGGGGAATGTCAAACAGCAGCAGGGCAGGTGGCTAAATCAAAGCTTCAGAATGAGCAACAGGTACTGTGCACAGCACACTGCACACCACACAGACATCTGGAAAAGTTCCAGTTGAGAGAAAACATCACACTTATTCTGAGATTGTGCCGTGATACCTACCATCCAAATGAAACGAAACTGCTTGTGACTTCAGGGACCAGACCATAGCAGAAGATAATCTCAGCCGATTGGATGGGCTCATCATCACTCATGTAAGTCAGATTCATACTTTCTTATCGTCTCAGAGTGTTGTTCCCTTTTTCTTTGCATGTGAAGTAAATATGTAAACTGATACTATCCCCTTTTAAAAGCCATAAGGAACTTTACCCAGATATGTAGCTTGAATTGAGATTTACTCTTTTTCATATCTGTGAAAGCTCAAACTGTCAAGAAATGGAAACACATTTCAAATGTTAAGATTTTCCATCACATTATAGGCCCAGTTATTTGGTTTGTCTCAATACAAATCTTCCAAAGTTTTCTGTTGGGATTGTATTTGTCAGAGCAGCACAAAATATATCATTAAATGTACCCTGATGCCTTTTTGACATTCTCTTAAAGATGACTCGACTTGACGTGGGTGATTTTGAAGTCTGCAAAAAATAAAAGAAAGAAATACAACAAACACTAAATTGATATATGATATTATAATAGAACTATTTATGAAAAAGTCCCAGTTATCTCAACCAAAAACAAAATCTAATATTTTATTGCCCTCACCAAAAGTCCCTGTATGTGAGTTTAGCTTTAGGCAGAATGCATTTTGCAAATTTCATTGACTTTCTTCATGGTTGCTCATGCATTCATCCCATTTTAAATGTCATGTTTTTTAGGGGGGGTTTTGCACAGATTTGTGTCGGTGAGTCTCGTAGACGCCAGAGAGTAGCAAACGATCGTTTTCCCTCCATTTCCCTTTTTTGCACTAATTGATGCTTGCAGGTGGGAGTAGCTCTGAAAAAGCAGATGCTTTTTAATTGAGCGTCGACAATGACTTTAATTAGACCAGCTTTGCTGCTGGTGTAGGAGACAATGTGAAGCAGTTTCCAAACAAGGTGAACTCAATTTTCTGAAAAACCCTTTAGAAAGCAGGACATTTCAAAGTCTTGCTTTCATGGCATGACATCCCAGGAAAGCGCATCGGTACGATAAGATCTCCAAAGGAGAAAAAAAAGTGTGCAGGAACAGCCTCAAAGATTTGTGGTCCCACATGTTTTAGATACACCTGCTCCAACACACCATTGTATAAATGACCTCAATCAGATGCCATCAGGTGGTGCAGAGGCTTGTTGGTTATTCAGTAACTAATAGAAGGGAACTAATGTTAGGCACCATTATTTGTTCATTCTGATGTCAAATATTTGATATGGTGTTTAACATCAATAAACTTCCCTAACGGTTTCAAAAACCTTACCTTAAAAGAAAATATTATATAGATAAAATACTAAATTGAATATTAATTTCTTGAAAAAATAAATAGAAAAACAAAATGAATAGCTGAATTGAATTTGGATCTTAAATGGTGGACCTCAAATTTTTATACATGATATTAATGTCAAAATATAAGAAGTAAATAAGAACACAGGAAGGAAAAAAGGCATTATATTGATCCAGTGTGTTATATTATGCTTAATCTAGTAGGAATAAAATGGGAGTGTCCTCCCCTATTTATGAAATTTTAAGAATATGTTGCGTATTTTAGACAAGCCCTGCTTTGTCTAAAAAAAAAAAAAAATCATTCTGATTTTTCTTCGTCTGCAGTCTGCAGCAGGCTGCTACATTTGTCGCTGCGTGAAAACAATAAAAGATAATTACTTTTATTATCTACTAGCGCCAGGTAATCCCTCAGGTGTTGGCAGTGATCTCAAATGTGTGTTACTTCTCCAGTTTAAAGAACCAAAATAAATGACTTGCTTCCCAGAAAGATTGTACAAAAAGGTTTCGCTTGGCAAAATCCTGTGCCATGTCCTTTATCATCAGCTGCAATCACAACAGTGACGCCGCTGCTCCCGAGCAAGTATTTGTTACTTCCGATCAAAGTCCAACATAAAGCCCACTTTGTGACGAAAGGAAAGCGTTTTTGGTGAAAGTGCTCAACATCCACACATCCAAACAGTTGTTTGTGTTCCTCCGCAGAGCTACATGAAGCACAATAAAACCTTCCACAGACTGTTTCGAGAGATCCCCGTGGAGGAGAGGCTGATGCACAGTGAGTGTTCTTGCACTCAAAAGTCTGTTGCTCATTTATGACGATTGATTATGGAAATGACTTCACATCCTGACTTTTGTTCCAATTATCTCCGCTGTCTTACTTTTCCAATCGCTGGACCTCTGGATGTGTTTGATTGCCAAATGTTCTGCGGAGTACGCAGAGCCGCAAGCGCCCGCCGCGGATAAATGATTCAGCAGATGTGCTCATGTTTCCCCACTGACCTCTTTTATGTGCTTTTGTTGTTGCAGCGTTTACCTGTTCCTTACAGAGGGAGGTCCTGTATCATGGAAAGCTCTTTGTTTCGGAGAACAACGTGTGCTTCTACTCATCTGTGCTACTGAAAGAGACCAAGGTAATTGACTTTGGCGCATTTTTGACATGAAACATGAACATCAGAGAAAAGTCAAAAATGTCACTAAAAGCCAAATAAGTTTCACGAACAAACCCAGTCAGTAAGTTAGGTGCATGACTCAAATGTGACATAGCATGCAGAACTGAGCTGCTCTTTTCTTTTTACAGGTGGTGATTGCTATTTCCAATGTGAAGGAGATAAGGAAACATAACCCAACCCTGTCTGTGCTGTCGGTGCTAACATCCAGCGGAGAGAAGGTCAGGCTCCGCTCACACTTTTCAGAACGGCACAGTGTTTGGTATTCCATGCAGATCACTTCGGGGGCCTGCAGAGGAAAAATGTAAAGTCATCTGAGCAAAAGCAGCATCGTTGTTACGAAGCTCAAACAATGTGTTCCAGAGATTATTATATTTGATAAAATTGTAATTATTGGGACTTCAATGCCTTTTATTATCAGTGATGAAAGTCATCCACTATGTTTAACAGAACATTCATGAGTTGTTTTGTGCAATTTGAGATGTAGTAGGTGAAACGTTTTTCCTCCCATTCATACCGAATGTCAGGAATTGAAATTTATGGCCTGACTCTGTTATCTCCCTCAGTTTCAGCTCCAGCTGATTTAAAAAAAAAAAAAATCTATGAAAATCAAACTTTGTAAGAGTTGTGGGGACGAAGGGAAGATAGAAATTAACCCAATTTCTGCAGAGCAAACCCTTCGCCATGCCCAGATTTAACCTTTGCTCTTATGTTTTTTTCCCCTCTCTCTCAGTATTTGTTTGCATCAGTGAGGAATTATAACGTCTGTTGCAAACTCCTCCAAAGCCTCTGCTGTCAGCAGCCTGTGGTAAATGAAATGTTCTCCCATTTGGTGAGCAAAAACAAACTTTAGATTTTTAACAGTGTTTTTTAATGGATGCATTAGGAGAGCAGCCCAAGCAGCAGCCCTTACCTGTCCTCTGCAGAGATTGAGGATGATGCGGTGAGTCTGCGTCTCAGGAGACTTTTAGGCAGCACGACGAATCCAGAAGCAAACAAAAATGATTCTCAGCATCCACATATCCTTTGTCTGCAGGCCTCCAGCTTTTCCAGTTTAGAGGACAGTTTGGAGAAGGTTGTTCTCAGCGACAGCATTTCTCCGATTGACGGTGGAGGTGAAGATGCCGATCTGAACTGCAATAAGAAGCATCTCAAAATCGCTGCAGTGTATAACGACGCATTTGTGTCTCCTCCGCAGCTGACGGCACATTCAAGTCCACTCAGGGAGGCAGTTTTACAAATGAAAATGGCAGAGGTGACAAAACCAGAGTAATGACTTTTTACTCGTTGATGTGTTGACATTTTTATTGATGCTTTCAGGTTTTTTTATCGTTTATTTTTCTTTGTTAGCTGGGTCATGGATTTGGAGGTTCCTTGAAAAAGTTACACTTGTATTGTTCTTCAGAGAAGTTCTGAGTCTAAGAGTTGTCTTCCTCGTCTTCCTGGTCCTGTGAGTAACGCCGCACAAGTCTGCTCAAGCTGAGCCAAACTTTCTTGGTTTGTTTAAAAGTGATTGGTCTCCTGGCTCCTTGCCTGGTTGTCTGGATAAATACATCAGTTCATGTTCAACTGCTTTACTGCGGTAAAATGAATCCCAGATTCATTCTAGCTGAATGTAAATAAAGTGATCGAAAATTTGAACTCATGGATTAATGCTGTCACAATTTGTTTAGTCAGCAGATAATTTAAGTACTACAGCCATTTGCATGTAATGAATTAGCTGAAATACTAATTTCATTCACAAACTTCAATGTAGGATTTTATGTTGGACACAAAGTAACAGCACACAATTGGAAAATTAGTCATTCAAACTAAGTGATGTTTGAAGGTGATGCTAAATTGCACTTGAGGTTATCCAGAGTAACGGCTGCAGAACAGATATTTATGCAAGACTTAGATTTATAGAAAAAGAAAACCATGTGTCCATTCCTGCTATTTCAGTCTTGCACCGTTTGTTTTGTTTTGTTTAGGCCTAATAAAATAAAACATGTCAGATCAAACGGTATAAATACTTTTCTGCCTCCATCAGCTGAAGGTCCTTTGCTAACTGCTGCACTTTTCAAACTAAGTGTGCGTCATAGGAGCATTTGGCCTTTTAACTAAAGAAGTTCAGTTCTTCCATAAGAACAAACTTTAGATACTTTGATCACAGAGGACAGTGATGTGATTGAGGCTCTATAATGTGTGTGGCTCAAAATTTGTGCTCTAGCAGAAAACAGTCTTTTGCTATATGATGGACAACTTTTTGAGCTCAGAAATGTTAAACCGTTCACACCCGTTGACATGCTGGCATGTCGACGTACTGAACGCACTGAAGCGAAGAAAGCCATGACACCACTGAAATGGCGCTGTAAATAACATCACATGATTTTTACTTATGAGCCACAAAGATAGATGTAACTGATATATTATTGTTAGTAAAATCAGCACTCTGTGATCTCCCACCTGCCTTTAACCCTGCGAGTGAAAGCACAACTTGGCTTTGTGGCCTGTGAAATGTGAGCCTTGCATTCCTTTTTTTTTTTTTTATACGTTTGTTTTTCTTGCAGAATGTTGTTGTTGCTCTTGATGTCCAGCTACATCGGGCTGAGGATCACCGCTCTGGAGGAGCAGCTGAGCTCACTGGGAGCCCTGAGCGATCTGTCTTCACACTACGCAGAGTGAGTGAAGTCGCACAAGGAAACACATGCTGGAAGTCAGTTGGGGAGTGCGTGCGGGAGAAAAGCCAGACGTCTCAAACCGGTTTTCAAACAATTAGCTACTGCCGATCGCAGTAAGATGGGGGAAAAGTGGCTGCGCTTGTTCGTGGCAGGAGTCCAAAGAAAAGAAAAGTGATTGCATTCCAGAGAGTCACATGCACCAGGATGTATTGTCTGTATTTTTGTGCTGAAACAACGGGGAGGAAGTAAAAACATGTTTAAATCTCAACAGCAAATCTTCTCTCAGAACATCCACTTTTGTTTGTAAAGTTCAGCATGTAGATATGTTTGCCAGAGTTAGATTTTAAGTCAGGTTTTAGTAATAAAATGTTACTTTATTAAATAAAATCAAACAATTTAAAAAGGTATAATGAAACTAACTTTCATTAAATTGCTTAAAATTTGTTTGATTAGGCTAAATATTCATTTCACTTCTCTATCTTCTGCTAATTTTTCTTCTTTGTCTTGTTTTTTTTTTTTTTTTTTGTCCCACCAGGTACCAGGAAACATAAACACCTGTAACAAAGACATCTCGACAATAACACATACAGACTTTAATAATGTATATTATTGTATTGTATTGCACACAAATATTTTTCACAAAAGAAAGTAAACTCCTGTTTAAAGATGATGTCCGACAGCTAGTGGGTTGGCTGTCTGTACCAAAGGTTTCTAAAAGTTGCCTCCACAAAGTTCTGTCATGGTGTTGCTAAAATTTGTATTGTTACCAACCCAGTCCTTGAAATGTGTGGAATAAGTAAGTGTGATGTTGGCTTCATTGAGACCAAAAGCATTTAAAGGTGCATCATTCACAACAGAGAATATAGCAGTTAATCTCCTTTTATTTAACTGACAGACACAGTTTTGACATGAGTAACTTAGTGCTGCCCTTCCCCCACTTGTTGTACTGTGGCTAAAAGATGGTGCTTTTATCAAGGTGTGCAATTTTTAAAAATGCAGTTGGGAAATTCACAATAAATCAGTCGACAGGCAGACGCCAAAGGCAATAAACTAGCTAATATCAATGAGGTATAGTTAATAGTTAACTCCAGAAATGGATAGTAGTCCAACGAGATAAGTTGTATCTAATTTCATTGAACTATTTAACAGGTCTTTGCTTAAATCTATTTATCAAAAATAATGTTATGCGTATTATGACTAGAACTATTTTGGTGGCTATGTTTGTTCCACCAAATAGATCATATTTCACTTCTATGTTTGGTTGTTTTTCTTTAAAGTGAATATTATAAAACTATATTAGTTTTACTCAGGTGTGTGTAGGAATCGCAAACCAGTCTGCATGTGAGGAACAACCTTGCGCCAGAAGCTGAGAGAAGTATGAGGAGACAACCTGCACACCTTGGCAGTGATTTTTATTTTATGTTTCTTTTGCAAATCAAAGAACAGACTCAGCCAGAAGATAAACTCGCTAGGTGTTTTTTAAGCCCAACACACAATGGTGTTTTTATTGTACCTTTTGAATTGATGTACTTCAGCTTGTTAATGACAGCATCTGACCACTAGAGGGCAGTAAGCCACTACAGATTTATTAAAGCCAGGGTAGCCTTCAGCAACCTTGTTTACCCCCAGACACAACATATAGAAACAAAACCATCTTCAGATCCTTTAAACATCAATATTGAAAGGATCACATTTTTTTCGCAATTGAAGAATTTTCTGGCACCAATTGTGCAAAATATGTGCTCTGACAATATAAATTTAATGCATAATTAAAAGTTGATTTCCTTTACCCGAAACTCGCTGTTTTTACAAGAATCCCGAACATTTTTATTCATTACTTCCAACATGGCAGCAGTCTTAAATGCACAAATATTTTCCTGCCTTTGTAACTGAGTATTGGAATAAAGTGAATAATTTATGGACTGTAAGTAAGAATAATGATAATTAAAAAAAAAAAAAATCACCCAATTTCATGTTTTTGTACGTAAGTGATTTTATTTTGTTGTCCATAAAAAGGTCAAGATTCAGTCCCATGAATTCATTTCATCACATCATATTTTCAGTTCAAAAAAATGCAACATAAAATTACAAATTATAATACAAAGAAAAAAACAGGTAAGTACAGTAACCATATAAACAGTCTAGTAATAGGTTCTACATCCCCCCAACCCAAACATCGGACCCGGTCAATCTCTAGCACAAAAAAAAAAATCCAACATTACATCAGTTAGTATCAGCATTTAAAAAAGTCAGATAAACATCCTTTTTTTTTTCTTTTTTGGAGTTTTAATGTTTCAACGCCATGAATTCACCTTTATCCTCACATTGACAACACAAGATTATGCTCCATCCCTTCATTTGCTGTGCAAAACACAACAGACATGCATACAGTTTTCACTGCTTATCCCCCCGCCCTCCCGCCCCGACCAATGAACATTCAAGGCCAAAGGATACAATAGATCAACCACAGTGGAGCATAGATGCGTTTTTAACCCAGACTCCAAACCAGTGAGGTCTCCCTGGTTTCCCCATAGAAAAGAGAGGACAAATTTTACTACCAGAGAGAGTGATTCTTTTATTCGCTCTCAAATTCTTCTGATGACTCAGTTTCTGAGTTTGAGAAAGGAACAGATTTCCATTATTCAAATACACAAAGCACAGGTTGAGAACGGAAGAAGAAAAGAGAAATATCCCTGTTCGCGCAGACAGGAGGTGAGTGGTGGTTCAGAAAACGTCTTCTGCTGCTTCCCGAGACCCACTTGCACTCCCAAAATGGAGCAATCAGGTCAGCGCCGGTTAATAAATGTTCCCTTTGATACAATGCGGCCACAATCACTGAAATTGATGGATCTCCTGTGCAGCAAACACCTTGTACTATAGCAGGTCTCCATATGGGACCTGTTTGTACTTCTTCACCCAGGAAAACCTGCATTCATGATGCTTTCTCCTTTAGAACACAGTCAATGATAATGAAAAGACACAGACGTACATTTTATACCCTTGTAACATTTTGGATGCTTTATACAATAGTGCTGAACTTAAGACCTGCTTTTTCATGCTAGATCAGATATTTATATATATATAAATGTGTAAATACATATAGTGTGTGTTTGTGTATGCATGTCGATGTGCAAAGGTGTGTGCGCCTAAGTGTGGTGGAACCTGCACCACACCAACAGTGACGAGGCTCAAGTATGGCTTGTGTCAGACATCGCGGTGTGCTGCCAGCCACAAGAAGAGCTTCTGTACATTTAGGGCCAGAGATGGAAAAAAACAGGAAGGTACAGGAAGCTATATTCCATTCTGGCACCTGATCTGAATCACATTATTAGTCCCAACATCACGAAGTATGATTATGAAACAAACAACTCAGGAAAAATTACATCAAAGCTAAAATTCGCCTAGCGAATGTGCTGCGGCGGCGGCTAGAAACGGATGAATGCAAACCAGCAAAATTCAGGTTACGGACGACATCGGGATAAAAATGGATGCAATTCATGTTGGTTTGTTGGAGCAGACAGCAGCTGTTGGAGTCAACTTTTATCAAAGCGTCACACTCCAAGGTCTCAACTTCAGCCCCGCTTCTGACTGAAGGCTAAAACCTCCAATATGCTGTTTCAATTCTCAGAGCCGAAGACACGGGCGTCCCTCTCAAGAGGCAGCTGATCAGTTTCCAGCAAAGCTTAGAAAAAGAAATAAAGATAAAAATGGCTCTCTCCAGAAATTAAAACATTTACAGTGCCATTCTGGCATTTACATGATGACTATAATGCATAATTTTCTGTTTTATTTTAGACTTAATTTTCCCAGGGTGAAAGGATTATACAACTTCACTTTTTCAAATCACAAAATACATGTCCTTATATGTCCTTATACTTTGGATAAATGTCTTAGCAAATTCTGGCTAAATATTCTGACTTGAATATTTCCAAAACTTTAAATTTAAATAGTTTGTCTGTTCCAAGTTGTCAGCTGTGGATGAAAGGAAATTGTCTGGGGTGTGGAAGCTGCTGAAACAGCAGAGTCAATGTCCGGTGGACCGAGTTTAATATCAGTGAGGACTGAGAGGCAGCAGAGCAAGAAAGAACTGCTCCAAAACCTGAAATCTGCAGCTGGCCACAAAGTCAAGCTAAAGGTTTTAGGGAGAAACGATTTATAGTCAGAGGAGACAATGAGAAGTTGAAAGTGTGAAGGTGAGGCTTTCAAACGCAAATCTATTTAACCAACAAAGGGTGGTGGCAGCATCATGCTGAGAGGTCAATTCTGCTGGCAGCAGTACAGAAACAATAAAAAAAGATTAAGGACTGCCTCCAAATTACTCAACTCAGACCAAAGCAATGACTGTGTTTTCAACAGGAACGATGATCCCAAGTATAAATAGAAACTGGTTTTTAAGCAGACCGACATCAAGCTTTTGGAATATGTTGAAACTAAGCCTCAGTGAGAAACTACGAGACTGTCTTTAAAAGCTGGATCCATGTTCAGATATTCAGGCAAGATTCTGTCACAAACATGTTAAAAGTTTCCTGAACCTTCTGTGGCTTGCCTTCAACTTACTATGAGACATATATCCAAATATCAACAAGGATGTATTTAAAGTTTGAGTCGATTAAAGAAAATCCAAAATAAATGCAAATCTATTCCCAAATTCTTTTTTGTAAGAAAAAAAAAGTGAGAAAGTTGCATTCTGTTCCATTCTACCTCATAAGCAAGAACATTAAATAACTCACACATCATTATAACTTTTGTTGCCATAACCTTTTAAACACAACAACCCCTCCACTGCGTCACCTCATCGCGGTCTAATGAGGTGCTACGTTCTTTACCGCTTCTTGTTCAGAAGCAGCCACTTCCTGGAGTGTCTGCAAACGTTTTTTTTTATCTTTCAGCGCGCCCACTCTGGGTTTACATGATGAAATGACAGAGCAGACTTGCGTTTAAAAACCAAGGAAATTATTATTAATTTTTTTTTTTCTGAATGGGAAATTAATTTATTCCCTAAAACTTGTTTCTGCTACTTAGTGGAAAGTTTAGGTCTGTAAAAGACATGAAAGTTGGCCTTTTGAGAATTAATAATGAGGGAAAGTATGAGACTCTCTGCAGCCATGCAAGCTGTGAAAGGATTTCAGGCTACAACAAGAGGTCTGCAGACAGATCACCCCAAACCACACATTAAGTAGGTTAGTGTTAGCTGGAGAAAAACTTGGGAATGCCCTGGCAGTCAGACTGATGTCCATTAAAAAGGTAAACAAGTAGTGAAGAGGGGGAGGATACATGCTTGATCAGTAATTGTCCACTGGAAAAGAGAACTAGTCAAACTGTGGAGGTATTCTTCATAATACACAAATTACATGATTAAAAAACAAAAAGAATCATCAATATTGATGTCCTCATTAGCCTTCCACTACTGTAGGTTTCCAAGTCATCAGGATGTCCTTCATTTCTACACACATTCACTCACACATACTAATGTGTGCGCACAGATCCAGAGAGGTTTGAACACACACACACACACACACCCCCACACACACACACACACAATCACAGCATTCTCACCAACACCACTTCAGAATTACATCTGTGTGCCTTTGTGGACAAAAATCTCTCACTTATCAATTGAATTAAGTCGACGTGTTTTGAGGCTGCAATTCCAGGTCGTCCTATGACACTGCAGCTCTGAAATGACTTGATCTGTTCCATAGTGTTTCACCAACACTGTACAAATGTATAAAGATAATGACGTTTTAAAAAATTTTGTCACCTTTAAAAACAGGAAACACAACGTAGGTCGTGTTTGTGTTGAACCTGTAGGTGTGCTGCTTTAAAGACACACAGATGTGACCGAAATCATTCACGCGTTCATTGCAAACATGCTTCCACACACACACATACACAGTGTCATAGATACAAACACATAGAGGCTGCTTGTTTCTCAGGCGTGCTGCGCAGCCAGGTCCTGGTTGATGAAACGCCGTAGCCTCTCCAAGTACTGACTGTAAAGCTCGATGTCGTTGTGGCCGGCCCCCTCCACCCACAGGGGCTCCACGGCCTTGGGACAGCGCTCGAACAGGGCGAGGCCGTGGGAGAAGTCGATCACCTCATCTTCTGTACCGTGAATGATGAGCACTGGAGATGGGATCTTTGAAACCTTCTCGATGCTGGAAGAGATTTATGCATTACTGCTCTAAGGCGCTGTCCACATTCTAGCCACATTTTTACATGTGCAAGATCGGTAATTTTACACATGTGATGCGTCTCGAGTATATCTGATTACGTCTGTAAGAATGTTGTGAATTCTTCTGTAAAAATCATCAAGAAATGGTCCTACAATATATGCCAGGGTAAAAATACAGGTAAAGAAAAAATTAAACAGATGCAGGGAGCGTTCGTTTTTTAAAGATATCTACTCAAATACAACTTTGTTTCCAAAAGTCTGTTTTGGAGCCTTAATGGGAAAAACCAATCTTTCTTCTACATTTTGGGGATTTTTTTCCCAGGCCATTACTTCTTCACCACATGCTTAAATTAATATACATTTAACAATTTTTCTTAAAGAAGACTTAGAATAAAACATGAAGCTTTTTTGAGTCTGATAGAACACAAGCGTTTCATTACTAAACTCCTAAAATATGAAAAAGAATACAATTTCCTTTAGTTTGTATTTAATATTTTTGAAGGAAAGGGTAAAAAAAAAGACTAAACTGAAAGTTGATTTCAATCCTACAAATCAAAAATAGCTAACTTTGAGTAAAAGCGTCAACACCAAAGAGTGTTGCTGCCTGGTTTTCACTGAGCAGTACGAGAGATTTTATCTACTGTGTTGCTTTTTGAAACTATATTCATGAGTTGCTTTTTTTTGGAAACTTAATTTTTATGCCTGAGGTGAGGAACTTACTTGGGGAACGCATCAAAGCAGTATGTTTTCTTTGTGTCAGGGAAGGCCACCCTCATGCCAGAGGTGAGAGGAGAATGAAGGACCACTGCAGCGCACTCGAACCTTGATGCTAGATCTACTGTGGGCACTGTGCCAATGCTCTGTCCATACAGGATGATATTTTCAGGGCTGATACCATACCTGTAAAACAAGCCAATAAATTACAGAATAAAATATAAAAAAGACCTGAACAAGACTTTTTTTTAAATAATGTGGTCAACAAATACCAGGAATGAACAAGTGTTGCAATTTAAACATATCACAACCAACACAGTGTGTGATGAGTGTCTTTTTTTTTCTTCCTTTTATATTTCATCTACAGACTTCACAAAATAAATTTGTTTACTTAATATTCACAATTCATACAAACTGTGACATCACTGCATCATTTTATTGGTTCTGTTTTTATATTTGTTTGTTTTAGTAGTTTTACTTGTGTACTAGTGTATTGCATTTGTGAATAAATTTCACACAAGAATTACATTTTTTCTCATAACTTCTTTACAAGACAAAGTGACTGTATTAATAATTCCAAACATATATGTAGTGATTGCTGTTCAAATAACAGCAGCGATGGGGTTAGTATTTTAATATTGCAGCCTCATCAGCCAGATATTCCTAACAAGAACATACTGAACTCTTTGGCTATTAATTTCTCTCTATAATGTTGTGGTGCACTGACAGTTAATTGGATCTAAATTACTAATTTTATTGGTGTCTTAAGAAATTGCTCAATTACACGTAGTGAAAACTATAATCCTATTGTACAACAAAACTATAAATGTATTACAATAAAGTGTTACTTCAACTGGTAATTGGTCTGACCTAAAAATGAGCCACTGTTAAAAAAAAAAATCTAATCAAATAAAAAAGAGCCAGTAGGGGTTAAAATTTCATTCACCAGGTAAATTGAAATGAATCTTGCCTCCTTACCGAGAGCGCAGGGCGTGCCATGCAGCATCGATGTCTGCGTAAAGGTTCTTCTCAGATGGCTTGCCGGTACTAACACCATAGCCTGAGTAGTCGTAGGAGAAGATGTTGCAGTTGATGCGGGTGCCTAAGCCGATGTAGAAGCTGCTCATCTGACCCAGGTCTACGGCGTTTCCATGTGAGAACAACACTGTGAACCTGAGCGACAGACAAGGAAGAGAAGGATGTAAGGAAGTGAAGCGCCAAGACTGGAAACTCAAACCTGAAATTTGGTGTATAATGCTGATGGCTTGCTAACAACTTTACGAAGCACACATCTGAGCGTCGTCAGTTTGAAAATAGTGATTCATGTCTCACCTGGCATTGGGAGCACAGCGTATGTACATGCACCCGACCCTATTCCCTCGGCTAGATCTGGTCAGGAACACGTCGGTCACATCCAGTTCTCTCTGTGAATACTGGAACTCGGCTCTTTCTGTGAGGTGCAACTTCCACCTGCCTTCAGGCCCACTGATACTGCTGCTGGTGGTGGCAGCACCGCCACTACTGCCGCCGCCGCCTCCTCCTCCTCCGCCTCCTCCTCCTCCGCCGCCACTCCCACCACCACCTCCTCCACCGCCTCCTCTGTCTGATCCACTGGCATTACCCAGCCGTGAACGCAGTCCCGGCGCCCCGAGTGACGGTGGAGCAGCTCCAGAGTTGGCGGCAGAAACGGTTGTTGCTCCAGATCCAGGATCTGGGTCGGGGAGCAAAGCATAAGTGGGCTCTGGAGGGAGAAAAGCCAGTTTGGCTGCAATGCGGCTGGGACAGGGGGGGCAGCAAAAGAGGCAGCATAGCTCTCGTATGGACAGGCCGTTCATCTTCTGGCACAAATCTGAAGAGGAGAGGCAGCAAATGAGCAAAAATATTAAAACATATGAAAAACTAAATTATTTAAAACTAGTTCACACATTTTTTTGACTGACATTTGAAAATTTCTTCTTGACAGTTGTATAGCATCTATCATTGTTTGTATAAGAAGCTGAATAAGCAGTTGGTTTAGTATTCATATAAAATTGAGTTTAATTTACATAACAAAGAATGCAACTCCAGGGCAGGCAGTGAATGACCTGACATGGAAAGGTTTATATAAAATGGATCCAAGGAATGACCCCAGAGGAACTCCACTTAGCAATATTGGGTCTTAGCATTATCTACACAAACATGCTCTATTCTGTATGTAAGGTTGGCTCAATATTTGTGAGTCCAACTGAGAGATGTGGGATGACTCAAAAAGAATGCTTCAAAATATTTTTAAATACATCGTTTTGAGACTTTAAAACAATGTATTTTGTTTTCAATAAAAACATCTGAATCAGTTCATTTAGAATAAGTGAAGGAGAAAAAGATGATTAGAACACCAAAGAGAGAAAAGAGCAGGAAACGCCACAAGAAAAGACAACAAAAAGATGCTACTCGCTCTACTCAAAGTGCAATAAAAGCTCACCACTGAATGCCACTTAATTCTAACTTGACAGATGTGGAAAAACATCTGCATATGTCTGTATCTGGGAAGGAGTGAGGAGATAGAAAATATGGAAGTAATTTTATATAGAGATGGTCATTTTGCAAAAAAAAAAAGTGCAATAAAAGAAATGTAGGGCTAATGTTACTCTCAAAGCATCATAAAACTGCTTTTTTTTCTCCAGGTCAAGAATTCAGCAGGCAAATTACCAACTTATAAATAATTTGTTTAATTTGCACCTTTAGACACAAGTCTAGGACTAATAATCAGTCAACTGTTATAAAGCCGGTTCCTGTTGGCAATCAAAAACCTGATGTGTGGCAAAGAGAGTTGTTTGCTTAAAAAAAAGAAACACATTTACAAAATATGTTATTTGAAAAAAGTAATTTAACACAGAAGTTACTTAGTTACTTAGAATATGTGGTGACAAATATATGAAGCATAAAATAGCAAGATTGTAAGCATAGCTTTGATGTTTAAGGTGGAAAAGACGAGCCTAAAAATACAAAAAAGAATTTAGCAAATGACTTCAACACATCTTATTTTTTACATTAATTCTTAAAAATGTACCCAAAGAAATGTTATTCTGGATAATCTGATTATCTCAGTTCAACTAAGTCATAATCTGAGAGAGCAATAATCAGCATGACATTTGTGATGATTGTATACAGGTATAGAGGTGTACAAACATATACACCTAAGTAAAACAAAAGAGCAGCACTATCATTCTTGACAGGATTTTGGACACTCACAAATGCACTAACACAATTACAGTAACAGCTTCTGCAAATGTGTGCTCTGCAGAAAAGGGAGACTACAGCAAAAGAAGAGCAATCTAAGCTAACATTGATCACTGTAGATGTTGCAACAACGATTGACAACTTTGGATTTGCTCTGAAGTCTGAAGCCCGGCTGTGCCGACACCTTCAAAGACAGGACTTACTTAAATCCCTGTTCACATTCAGACTACTGCTACACAACATTACTGTATTGTATAATACCGTATTTTTGTTATGTGATAAGATTTCAAATCCATGTTGCCTATTCCTAATCCATGTTAAATGGGATGAAGCATAAGAGTTCTCAGACTGGATTGAGAATGCACAACTCCTCCATGGTGACTGGTAGTAGCGGCATATCATGAGACATTAGTAAGTACATCGATTGGTAATCAAAATATGAAGCAGCCTTGTGCTAAGGCAAGTGCTACTAACCAGGATCATCTAACCAACCAATGGCAACAAAGCATCAATACTAAAACATTTTTAAAAAGCCATATAATGAATGCATAGCTCCAAAGAGGAATAAGAAAATTGCACCAATTATCAGGTTGCTTTAACACTGCAAGAGGTTGTGTGCTTTTCAGGCTGAAGTTCAAATGCAAAATGTATTCACCATGTTGTCGTAGAGCAGCCCTAGCATCAATTCACCAATCAGGTGGGGTTCAGCGACAAAGCGAGGAACAAATGCATCCTGACACAATAATGTTGGGTTATAAAGATTTGTAGGAATCCTGTGATTTTCATATGACCTGTTTTAACCTAGAGTAAAGGGGGGAACTTCAATTTTAAAAATCCAAACTCTGGCTGGACGCAAGCGTTCTGAATCATCATTATTCAAAATTTTCTGATAAATAATAAAGTAAATAAACATATATTTTAACTCTTTGTGGAAAAACTTTCAATCTTAAATCAAGTTTTTTGCAACAGCACAAAACTTTTATTATTCCAAATAAATTTGTTTTTTTTGTACATGATCGACAAAACACAGGAGTTGATAAAAGGCAATACCTCACGATAATTATGTTCACTGATCTGATTCTTCATAGCTATATCAAGTATGCACACCAGTGTGTACAGATACACTGGTGCTTCCTATAACACATCTGTAGAGAAATTTGGCATGTTGTCATCTGACCCACTGGTAAAGCAGTCCACTTCAATGACACATTTATCACCGACTATGAAATATTAGTAATAACCACGGGGGCAAAGGATGTCACAAGATATTGAACAATAGGGAGGACAGAGGGAGATAGAGAAAGGCTTTTTATTAGACTTTATTGATTTAACACATGATCCCTGACAACATTTAGAAGTCAAAATGCTTTTCTCACACCTTCTCAGTCTCACGCTTTTCCCATTTAGTGACACAGAACTGTTTTATCATGCTCATTATCTAATGTTTGCTTAGCAATACTTAATGAATTAAGCATTGCTTAATGGGAAAAAAAGACAAATGAACTAAATTTAGTTTAATGAGGATAAAATAATATCTGGATGCAAATATTTGTGGATAAAATTACATTTTTAAACAACAGTTGTCTTAATTATTTGTTGTGTTTTCCTGATTAGTGACCGTCCTGTGGAGGCTACAAAGTCAGGAATTTCTATAAGGCAAAATTAACTATTTGGGTTCATTTGACTCAGCCATTTTAACGCCCAAGAAGAGGATGAGATGTAGTATCACTTCAACCTTAACTACTTGGCTCTTTTGCATGTTTGTCTTAAAAACAAAATAAAATGTATGGATTTATTTGAGTTCACCAAAATCACAACATCGAGGTTCTCGGTTGATGAACGTCGCAACAAATGGCATCGGAGTGTCGACCACAGCTCCTACGCGCTCACGTTCCACCCACATTCCTGCCCAAATTTAATCAAATTAGACATTAGCTAGCTTCAGTAAGACCTGACATGAAGAAGGGGCTGAACGTAGTGGTGGTGATGAGACGGTCTGGACCGCTTTGCTGCTTTGAGATTCTTCTCTCCAGAAAACAACAGTTGTCTTTATTATTTGACGGTCAGGCCATAATCAATGACCCTCCGCTCAAACACAACTGGAGTTTTCGACAAGACAATAGCCATCAGAGTGGACCAAAACGTCTTGTCAATGTCTGTGGCCAAACTAATGACGTTCCAAGATCGAACTTATTTAAATGGCCGGCATTTACCTGCTGCTTCGGACCAGAGCAGAGCAGAGGGGATTTCAATGTTTTTGGTCCAATAGGAGCGATGGATAGATAGCGAGATGCACAATGCTGACCAAGCGCTTTTCCGAATAAACAAACACGCCCACAAAATTCTGACCAATCACACAATAATTTTACCCGAAGAGGGCGGCGATTCGTTCACTTGTAGGTAGATCAGCTTGTAGCATATTTATATTTCGCTTTTCGAAGCTGTTTTACTCCTTAATGCTTTGTTTTGGATTATGGTCATTTCAATAAAGGCAAAGATTTTGTTTTTACTCCTTTCACCAGTATAAGAAAAGAGAATGTCAAAAGTTTCTCAGAAGAAAACAAATAATCACCCAAATTTGATATTTTAATCTAAATATTACAGTTTAATCTTTAGAAGAGTCTGAAGTTTAACAAAATAATTAGTTTTAGAAGTTGCAAAGTATTAGAATAGTGCATCGTCTTTCACGTTTTATAAAGATAACACCTAAATCACATAGTGTTGGGTCACATTAATTGTTTTGAAATGAAACAAGTATGTATTGTTAAAATATTAAAATGCCATTTTTTACTAAGTTCTGTTAGTATTTTAGTGTTAAGTACCTTACAATGCAAATCTTTGCATTTTTATTCTTAATATAGAGCAGCAACAAAATATAACTGACATCAATGTTCCAGTGATGTAAATAAAATAAAAAAAATGTGTTCTAAGCTTTATTACACAAAAAAGAACTAAAGAAAAATAAGTTAGGGAGGAATTGATCTAACACCAGAGTGTAGGCGGCAGTGATTTCAGAGGCACATGTTGCCTGCCAAGAAATTAGCACACCAAGATAAATAAAATGTCCAAACCAAAAAATTATTTGTGTTTGCTCCTTGTGCTCAGATATGCAACCATATTCACTAATATGATTTTTGTACTTTTAAGAATCCTTATATATCATTTGCAATCAATTTTGTCATCGCAGTTATAAATATAGCAAGAGGTTTGTTGTTGAATTTTTGGTCTGAAAATCTCATGCTATATTTTTCTGAAAAAGGGTGGATTTTTTTTTTCATCTAATCCTATAGTCTTTAAAGTAGTTATGACAAAGTCCAGTACCAATTCAACAACTTTTAGATGCGTCCCTTCTCCGGCACACCTGAATCAAATTAAGCGCTGGTTAACAAATCTCTGCAGAGCTAAATGAATCCTGGTGAGGGACTACATGCATGCTTGAACAGAGATTCATCTAAAAGTGACAGAATGATAGCTCTCGATGGCTAAACTTGAGCACACTTCCTCTAAGAGTTAACATTTCCTAAATAAACCAGTCCACCGCTCAACCATATGCTGACATGACTTTTGCAAGGTCCAAGTTTCATCTTCATTTTGAGTATTTATTGATAATGTTTCGATTATTCCAACAAAATAAAAGGATGCATTTCATGTTGAGAAAAATATTTTGTTGCTGTTAATAATAAGTCTGAGCATTTTACATATTTCAGTGTCCTCAGGGAGACTTGAATTACTCAAGAATTTTAACATTTAAAACAACCTTAACTTTTCAACCTACACACACACACACGATCATATTATGAGTAGGTTTTTTTTATATATATTTGTCCAAATTAAATGACTTATTTTTTCATGCCATCCTTTTGAAAAGGTTACCAACATACCTACTTCGATAAAAGGCACACATACCTGTATTTAGAAATCCTTTTTTATTGAAGTTAACAGGAACAAGAAAAGCTCTGCACCAAGGTCTTGCAGTCTCTTTGGTGAGCCAGCCAAATCCTAGTGAATGTAAAATGATTTGTTGAAATTGAACAGTGCATTAAATGCGAACAAACAATCAGACAACCTTCACCTTTTTGTATTCCAGTCTAATTTTATAGTAAACTATATGTTTAAAAACTCTTAAAAATCAGACCACACAGGTGAATTCATTTTAAGGACTCGATATAATCAGGATTACTTCCACAAATTGTTGGGTCTCTATGAACAATAGGCAATAAATTGCATGACATCGGAAGCTTTTGACAAGGGTAAACAGGGATAATACTCACAGCACTATCTCAGCAAAAACACAGCCTCACTGGCATGCTAATAAAAACTGCTTTAAACATGATATAAAGCGTTGAATTTAGACCGTAATATTAGGACATACAGGCAAGGAGAATGCCAACACCACAGAAGTCGAAATGATCACCAGAACCTCTGTATTTAGCAGCCAGATCCATCCATCACTACCGCTAGCAGGTTGCCCAGCTAGCGGCGGCTGCTGCTGCTAGCTCGTTAGCTCGTTAGCTTGGCCGTCTGAAAGCGACCTACTTACCGATTCACAGCAGGACGATAGGCGGGATGGAGAGGCCCTATATGTACTCAGAAGCAGCGTAGGACTAAGAAAATCCTTCTTGTGTCTTGACATGGATGGACTTACTCAAGTGTACCAACCAGTTGTCGGTGGCAAGCTAGCTGAAATTCATGGCTACCAGATTTTTTTTTTTTTTTTACTACTGCCCGACTTCATCCGGAAGTGACGTACAAGCGTCAAATCCTCATTCAGCCGGGTAACAAAGCTACATATTAAAACTAAACTAAACTAAATAGGAATATATTGTAAATATTTCTCATATATATTGTTTACAAATAAGAAGACGAAACATCAAATGTGTTCTTTTTTTTCTCTGATGCAGTTCAGCTTTGTTTGATAGTACAGCACTTAAGGGGGTTGATATCATGTGCAAAGTGCAAGTTTTGCGAATCCAAAACGTATATTTGTGTAGAAAATAAAACATGGACATGAAGATATTATAACTAGCTAATGTTATATGACTTAAAACGTTCAGCTTGTTGCTAGATGAAAGGGGTATGTTGCAGTTTTTGGGTGAATCTAAACCTATTTGACTATCTCATGAGCCTGTTTTAGTCCACCAAGTACATGTCAACCCCTGTACAAACAAAACAAAAAAAGACCTTGTGAAGATGTTGGCTGAAGCTTTCAGTAGATTGTCATTGTCCAATCCATTACGTCAAAGGAGCATTTAAAAAAAGGCTAATTACAGTTTGGAAATACATATCGAGAGAAAGGCCACCATGTTTGGCAGACAAATGTGTTAAGAACAACAAATTCGACATTTGGGAGCCGCAATTAATTTGGTACAGTTTATTTATATGATAGCATTTCACAGCAAATGCTATCTGAAGGCACTTAAGAACAAAATCAGTTTGTACAAATAAAGTATATTATTATAGCTGTTAAAAGATTCTCTTTTTTTTTTTACATTGTTCAGATTCATATTGAAGTGCTTGCGACTGACCAGAATTGTTGACAATTTGACAACTTAAAGTTTGAATGAAGTAAAGATGCTTCAACTGCAGCACACCCTGTTTGTTTTCACTGGATCTCACAATCTCGTATTGTTACAGATGTCCAGTTTATTACAAACTTTCTCTATTCAGAAATTATTTTTATTCAGTTCTCGAGCTTAATCAGTATGCATTTACAATACATTTTGTCTTCAGAGAATAAAACATTTTGTTTTTCATTTCAACACTCTGTTGTTGACATGGGATCGCCAGACCCCGAGTTTCAGACCCCAAAATGGGAACACACACACACACACACACACACACACACACACACACACACACACACACACACACACACACACACACACACACACACACACACAAAATGGCTCAGGGAAATTAAGTTATTGACAAAAAAAAGTTAAAATCTTAAAAAGTCAAGGGCGTATCTATACAGATGCTTCTTCCCAATCTCTGTAACACAAATTGAAACAGAATATCCTTCTGGACAGTTTAATTTACAGCCGCATTTAACTTCAGAAAGTATTTTTGTGTTGAATCACACTAACTTCTCCTAGGATACTTAAAATATTTTGGCCCTATTATTCAATTTAAAAGACGATTCTACCAATTACACCATATTCAAAAATGTCATCCAGTATTGATAGCACTGCAACAGAGATTTAGGACACTGAAATAATAGTATGAATATTTAATTTAAGGTGAAATATTATTACACAAGAAAACTCACCATATTTTTAATCAGAGCTAATCATCTGCATATTTTTGTAGATTAATACTTTCTGTAAGAACAATCTGCCACATATTGATTGCATTTAAGAAACTGGTAATAGTTTAAAAATGAGTCTTATTTTTTTCTTACCACTTCCAACATCGTGTGTGCCTCTTTGCCCAAGCTCTCAGACTGTCACATAAAGAACCCTTGTGTGCTTTGTGCTCATGATCATCAGCCACTCCTCTGCACTGTCATCTGGTAAATGTAGGACTTCAAAAGTGGGAAGTGCAATAGTTTTGTCCCTTCTGTCTTTTATTCTGTTTGCATCGATCCAAACATGTCTGTCTGAGTACATCCATTTCTTTAAGCAAGTCAAAGTTCATGCAGTTGTTGTTTTTTCAATGCAGTGTCTCTTGTGTCTTGCTGTTGCACGCTCTGCTGTATCATTGTGGGATCCAGTTGCAGGGTACATGCTATTTTATTGGAGCTTATTTAATATATTTTTAGTCCTGTTTAATTAGTAATCCACGACTTCCTGTTTTCATCAGGCCCCCTGTGACATTCTTTTTTTTTCTTCATTGCAGCCACTCCTAAAAACTACTAAACTTGCCCAATTATGGAGCCAGAACAATTAATCAAGTACTACAATCCTAAATATATGTTGCCACAATCCACAACGAGGACGATAAGGAAGGAGAATTTAATAAACATTAAAGTTCAGGAAATGCAGTGTGTCTTTTTTTAGAGAGAAGAATATGCTACTATTGCAGAAATATTGTTAACGTTTCCTAAGCTTAGGGCACTGTGTATTCTTTTCCTTTGAACCTAAGAGCAATCATATGACTGTGTTCTTAACAAGTCTCCCAATGTTGTCTTGAGGAATAAGAAAGGCTGTAAAATTAAGTGAGATAAATATGCCTCCTCTGTTAACAGAGACTATAGTTATTTGCTTTCTGGTTAAGCTTTTAGCTGTAAATTTAAAACAGATTTAGACACATCAGATCTGAACTGCATCACTCTGTATATTTAAAACAGTGTAAAACATACATCCTGGTGATTTTTGATATGACCTGAACTATGATTTACCATCCTCTGGGGGATCAACTTCAATTGAAAATGAATATTTTTGTCATGCAGAGAAACTTTATGTTATTCTTTGCCCTGCTCCCATATTCTAAGAACAAATGTCATAACTCCAACTGCAGATAAGATAACTTGAGGGCATATCAATAACTTTTGTTTATAATCTTGAAAATTTAGACACATCAAATTTGAACTGCATCACTCTGAGCTAAAACAGGAACATTTGATGAAAGTTTATTTTCTCAATTTCAGCCATGAGGTGTTTGAGGAGTTTTTTGTGTTATTTTAGCTCACTGGAAAGGGAATAAAAGGAAATTGTACTTCTTTGTCACAATTTACAAAAAATAAAAATGTGATTTTTTTTTTATCTGTTTATTTAAATGACTTGAAATTTCCCAGCTTTGTTAATGTTGAGATTTATGTGGAACATTTAATGTCGTTTGCTGCTGTGAGTGGTGGGTGGGGGGCAGGCAGAGGGGCTTGTTAGCATTCATGCATGCAAATGTATCAGTAACTAAAACCTATGGCTCATGATCCAGGGTGACTTTATTGCAACATGCACTTGTTTGTTTAAGCTCTGGTTTAAACAGTGTCAATCTGTGTCCTGTCGTTCAAGACAATAAACCTAATCTGCCACATTTATTACGCTTTTGACAAGATGTGGATTATTTATGGGGCTGCTTATTGACTTTACAAAAATGCTGCCTGTTAATGAATGCGTTATTGGTTTTCCCCTTGGAGCTTTTATTTCAGCCCTTTACCTCACTTTTGTTAATATTATCAAACTCAATAACAGCTCACCACAAAATGTGTGTTTGAGAGCAAGAGATGAAGAGAGAGAGAAAGAAAAACAGAGAGAAAGAGAGAGAGAGAGAGAGAGGGTGCTCCTCCATTCATCATTGATCCACTGCAGGACTCTGTTTCAGGGGGGTGTGAATTATGGGCCCCTGTTGTCACCGTGCCTGCTCTGCGCTGGACATTTCACCTCGCCACTGTAAATTTACAAAGGGGATTACATTCTGCTGACCAGTGATTTCAAAGCCGTACCCGGTGCTGGTCCCTCCCTGCATGGCAGAGGACTTCATTGCGGGGTTTGGTGGTTTTATTTTCATATAGACATATAAAAAGGGTCTGGAACGAGGCTGCCGGGAAAGAAAACGGACCTGGACTACAGACACCGTCAGTAAGTCGCTGTTTACGCATTGAAGAAAAAAAAAACACTCTTACTCTCCAGAGAGAGAGAGAGAGAGAGAGAGAGTGCGGGGAGAAGAAGAAGAAGAAAAAAAACAGATTTGTAGTTGCCTGGGCGTTTTGAACGCGCTCAGTATAAACGGTGATGCCTCGGCGACGCGCCGGAGTCGGAGAGGGAAGAGGCAGGTGAGGTGCGGCTGAGGAGCGTTATTCCAGAGAGCCTTGGATACCAGGAGAGCTGCTGCAGCCGTCATCCTTTTCTCCACTGAGGGAAACGAGAACGACAGAGAGGGCGGGTTGGCACCTGCTCCAGCCTCCCCATACCTGGCCATCTGGTGCGGTGAGTGTGCCAAATGGTGGGATTGAGAGACGCTTAAACGAGGAGGACGGGGTGGAGGGTAGGTGGGTAGGTGGTGGGGAGGGTGATCAGGTGTAAGTGCGCAGTTTTTATTAGGACCAAAGCGATGGTGCATTTTACTAGTCTCCAAGTAAACAAATAGGTCCGTCCCCGGCACCGTCTGGACCCTGGTGGGTTCGAGTTGGTCTTTGTGTCTGCTGCAAGTTTGCTGTGATATTAACATATTTTGTGCACGCCTTTGTTGCAAGTCGTTGGCTCTTTCACGTGTTGCACGCTGACTGTAACTGTGGGCTTTTGTAATATTTTTGTCATGCAAAATAGGATTACAGAGATGAGCACCAAGCCTGATCACAAAATCCTATTTGGATCATAATTCCAATTTGGATCATGGGTCTTGATCTAAATGAGCCTTGTCACCTTCTTGTGTTATGTTTTATTGTCCCTGCAGGGTAAATTGATGACGTCTTATAAAGTGCATGGTCAAGGTTTTATGTTAACAACAGAAAAGGTCAGATGTGATGATTTGGAAGCCATAAAGGCAATTGATTATGTCATTAGTCACACACAGCACAGCCCAGGGGTAGGGCAGGCGGCAGAAATCCACGGGATAAATCACAGTGAAAAAAGGTTTAAATAAATATGAATAAATGAGTCATGATACATTTTAAGTTTTTGAAAAACAGCCCCCTAAGGAGAAATCAGGAGAGCAGTGGTTGTTTTTAAGAGTCGATGAGGCTCACCACCCAGGGAACCAGAATCTCAGGGGCGCCATGAATTTATATGAATTTATTTAGCACAAAATCACAGCAAATGTAATCTCAAGGCACTTTACTTGACAAACACATCTGATCTCTATGTGGAAATAAATAATCAAAACAACTGGATTTATTCAAATTACATCCTATAACACTATGCTACAGAAACAGGTTCATACAGCCAGTTGCTAATATGTTGCCTTCGTAAAAGAAGCCCATTTAAATGTATCAAGTTCTTTATGCTACTGGCTTTGCAGTAATCACTCATACTCAGCAATGACACAGTGACATCTCAAAGGACTGACTCTCTTGTAACTGGAAGAATCCCTCAGCAGAACCTGGCTCAGTGCTAGGGGCCATCTGCCACGACCAACTGGGATTTTTGACAGGACAAAGAAGACATGCAGCAGCTTTGGACTAGGAATACCTCCTGTGGAAGTTAACAGAAGAGGTTGTTCTAGTTTGTTCTTTTATGAGAGAAACACAGCTAAACAGAAAAGCTCTGAGGCTGTAGCATTCTCGGGAGGTAAAAGCTGTACGCTGTTCCTCCCTTAATCTGTTATTTGGACCTCTGAACGAGTTTTCCATTCTGTATTTGCATGTACAGTCAATGGGGATTTAGCGTTGTGCACGCGGAAGCCGGCTTGGCTGAAGGTGGTATCTGATTCTCTGGACTGACTGCTGCTGATCATCTAATTGAGACTGGTCAAACCTGAACCGGTCTGTTTCAGAGTGACCTGAGATTCTTTGAGACATTGTTTGAGAAAACATTAAAAAAAAAAAGCAACACAACATCATGGTGCCACCGCTGTGTTTCATAGTGGACATGATGTTTTCAAGCTTCCAAGCTTCTCTTGTTCTCCAAGTTCACCAGGGGCCATTATGAGCAAACACTTGAATTTTAGTTCCTACACACCACATAAGATGTTTCTCAGGGTTTTTGCCCCTGAATGCATTTACAAACTGTGATCTGGGTTTCTAAGCTGCATTTTCAGTAATGACATCTTTCTCTTTGAGTGGGTTTCAGCAGATGTCAGAATGAGACTCATTTCACATATCATTCTGTTTAAAAACGGTTTTCTTTTTTGCAGAATGACCTTTCTTGCAGAAAGAAATGTGTTTTCACTCGGTTACATTTGGGTGTTGTGGGGTGTCTTGCCTAGCCCCCCGTTCATGTAAGAGCTATCTCTGCAGTCGAGAGTAACTCGAATTATGCTCATTGTCCAAATGTCTCACAGCTACAATAACTAAATTGCCTGTAGTCACCCACACGCTCCTACTTCTCTGGTCTGGGTGAAATGCTCACATTCAGCTCTTCCTGAAGTGATTTAGTTGTTACTCTGCATGGATTTTTTTTCTTCCTACAACTTTGTCTTTTATACTAAAAGCCATTGAGTTCAACAGCGGGACCGAAACAGCTCCCAGCTGCTGCGGTTCATGTTTGTGTTACTGTTGATATTCAAAGAAAAAAGAAATGTCTGGCATCGCAAAATAAAGAGGAGCGGGAGGGAGACAGAAACACAGACAGACAGATCGAGCATACAAAGGATAAAGTGTGGCATAGAGAGATCACGGCGTGCAGGCCACACAGGGATCGGCAGAGAATGTAGAAATACAGAAAAAGAAATGATGGCGCAGAAAGCCCTGAGCGAACCAGCGCCGAGGGAGAGGGGCTGCAGGCAGCCGTCTGAGCGGCTGTGAATGGTTTCCCTGTTGCCCACACAGACAGCCACACAGACAGCCGTGCGAGCAGGTGCTAAGACCACCACACAGCGGCCACAGGGAACAACAGGTGCAGCCCCTGTTTCCTTCGGCCCCTCGTTTTGAAAGTGCAGCTAACACCCAAACATACAGCTAGAAACGCCCACATACCAGGCTGAAGGAAAACAAAGAGAAAATTCAGCTTATGCATCCAAGGCCTGGATCTAAAATCTGAATTCGGAAAATAATGTCACAAACTTGGAACTATAGAGCCGCGGCGCTTGCAGGGTGAAGCAATCTCAGGTTGAGACAAATACCCACAGGGACATTATTGAATTGTATCGATCCTTCAGGTTCTCCATTCAATCTTCAAACAGGGCCATTTCAGGTTTTGGTTAGGAAAAAAAATCTCATCAGACTGCGGGGTGATTCAGCCCAGAGAGTAAATAAACAGTGGATTAGTATGTCGAAACCAAAGACTTTGGAATGCTTGTATAAATGTACAGGACAGCAGAGCTTCAGTGTCTGAAATAGAGTGAAACAAGCAAAAGGCACTGGAAGGTTACCTGACACCCTCACAGCTCTCTCTGTCAGGAGAAACAAATTGCCTTACTTTACCAGAGGTATACAGCAAGAAAAAGTATGACACTGGAATTGTGACACTGCGTGAAAACAGGCTCTGCTAGAGCAGTGATTCTCTAATTGAGCTGAATTCTTTTTAATTCTGATGCCGAAGATATTTTATAATGTAAACTTGTAAAATGTAAACTTTTTATACTTTTGTTTTCACCCATATTTTGTTGTTAAAGGAACTCTGACTTGTTATGAAGAAGAAAAAAAACTGCAGTAAGATATAAATCATGACAAAAACAACAAGATTTCAGATACAAAGAGTTGAATTTAGCTGCCTCCACAGTTGAACTCAGGCTGAGAGTCGGATCAGCAGAGCAGAACCCAGAGAAGAACTTATGTTCCTCCAAATCAAAAAAGAATCACTTCAAATATCTGGGTCATCTGATCAGGATGCCTCAAAACCTCCAGATCATGATGATGATGTATATTTATTTTCTGACCTCTGAACATTTTGGGATCAATAAAAAATGAGATGAAGAGTTTTTGCAAGGGAAAGAGATGCCTGAGTTTCCCTTCTGGGTCTGTTAGCCTGACGACACACTAGTCTTTGCACACATATGTGATATAGGTTATAATAGGTTCTATCATATTGTCTCAAACAGAAACAGTATCAGTGTCACCTATAAACTTGAGCAACGTTGACCCCCTCCTCCTCCATCAATCGCTGCACACTGCAGGTCAGCTTTCAGGGAAAATGTTATTGCTCTTCTCCCTTACTTACAAGACAGACAAATTTGTCAGTTTCCAGTGGCAAAAACAATCAAAGTCATTGCTCTGAGACTAAAGCACTGCACTGCTCATCATGTATTGCAGTATTTTAAAACTAGCAGTGGCAAGTGTGTAAACGAGCTGACTGTAAGTTGACTACGGGAGCAAATAGTCCAATTAATTATCTAGTTAAAAGCAGCTCGTTATGCTTTTGATACTTTATAAAAAGCAAAACAACAAGCATTTAAGATATCATGCACAAATGCTTCAGTTTGCAAAATAATTATCAATGCAGTCACATTCAGTGAATTTCAAATGCATTCCGATGAGTCACATTTGTCAGATTAAAAGCATTTTTGAGAAAAACACACCTTAAGCAGGTAATAAGCACACATTTCACTTATCCCACGTTTTGGCTTTATTTGTGCTCTATTAAGGTCTGGTTTGATATTCTAATTGTAAATGTTTTGTTTCATTACCTATAAATGCAAAAATCATCATAATTAACAAAAATGAAGACTTTCAAACTTTCACCTGTGTGTAATTAATCTATAGATCATGCTTCATGTAAGTAAGTAAGCAAGTAATATTCTAATATATTGGATGGATTTGTGAATAAATGTTTGAATATTAATGTAATGTCAACGCCAGATTATATTTGAAGCAATAGCAATGGTTGTTGATGTTTTGTTTCATATAAAAGAAATTAAACTATGGTGCATATATTTGTATGAACATGGCGGTACAGTGGTATTTCACTTCAATACATACCATAAAAATATCATAATACTCATTATTAATGCGTACTGTTAGAGTACTTCAATTTACTTTAAGTTACTTTCAGCATGCAGCCACACCCACACTAAATGTAGCCATCTTTCTCATTCATAACACAAGCAGATTTTCTTACTAATTTAATCTTGAAGAGATTTGATTAAATGTTTCTTTTGCTGAAAGCGGTTTCATTAAATGTCTCAAATTTCACCGCTGTGCTCATCTGGAAATAAGGCTTAGTCGGATTCTTTGGGGCACAGACCTAAAGGGCTAAAACAAATCTGAAGGATTTCAGAAGGTGGGTTTCTGCAAGGTCACTTGCTCCAACACAGTCTTTGAATCAGAGGCCTTAGGGAGCCATTTTTCAACCTTTAGGAGCCCAGAGGGTCATGAGTCCTGCGACCTGGACGC